GTTGTGTTTATCAGTTCTATTGACCATTGGCCTTTTCACCTATGACAAATAATCCCTATGTTCTTTATGCCTCTAACCCCACCACTCTTCCTCCTCACTCTCAGCAGAGAACCTTGCTTCTGATCTCACAGGGAATACAGAAGCCCAAGAGGACAACACCTCCAAATCCCATGTCTGCTTTGCATTCATCCTTCCCTCTTTCCTTCCTGTCCCAATGGCTGAACTGCCCTTTTGCCTCTCTCAGGGTAATTTCCCTACCTGTACTGTGGATCCTGTAGCATTAATAGGTAACATTTATTAACTGCTAAGTGCTCAGTGTGTACTCTTGTTCAATCCTCCTCCAATTAAGAACTAGGATTATTTAAAAAAAAATTTTTTTTTTGAGGAAGATTAGCTCTGAGCTAACATCTGCTGCCAATCCTCCTCTTTTTGCTGAAGAAGACTGGCCCTGAGCTAACATCTGTGCCCATCTTCCTCTACTTTATGTGTGGGAGGCTTGGCAGACTGGCTTGCCAAACGGTACCATGTCCACACCTGGGATCGGCACCAGCGAACCCCGGGCCTCCGAAGCGGAACATGCGAACTTAACCGCTGCACCACCGGGCCGACCCCAAGAACTAGGATTATTTTTGAGTCTAGTTTCAGATGAGCAAATTGAAGTTTCAAGAGGTTGAGAGATTGTCCCGTGGTCACATAGGAGCCCGAGTTTGATCTGGGTTAGACTAATTCCAGAGCCCTTACTCTTAGCTACTGTTCTATCCTTTAGTTTCATGCCAGCTCAGGCTTCTCTACCCATCAGATATTCCCAGCCTGTCTCCAATTTTTTCCACCCTCTCTCTTCTGGCTTGTTTATACCAGGATGTAAATATGCACCGTCTCTTCCAGGTATTAAAATGAACATCCATTCTCCTAAACCTACCACCTTCCCTTCATAACTGAAATCGCTGAGAAATTTTACCATATCTACATTCACAGTCTCCTCTTTCCTCCCATTCACTCCTCAACCCACTACGGTCTGGTCCCATCCCAACAAAGGTCACTCTGAGGTCACCAGTGCCTCCGTGTTGCTAAGTTCAATGAGTTCTCCTTGGGCCCTATCTTACTTGACATTCCTGAAAATTTCATACTACTGACCCCTTCTTCTTTCTTGAAACACCTTCTTCCCTGTGCTTTTGTGTGCCTACCCTTTTCTGATCTTCTCTCTGTGTCTTTAACTGCTCGTCCCTAGCTTCATTTGAGGGTACATCCTTCTGTGTCAGTCACTGCACTGTCTGTCATCTTCCAGCCTTTGTACTAAGCTCCCTTATCCTCATTCCACATATATGTCCTGGGTAGTCTTATCTACTCTTGTAGGTTTTAGTTCCTATCTAGATGCTGGTAAATCCCAAGTCTATATCTCCATCCTTGAGAAGGGTCTAAGTGCCAGATCTTTGTATGTATCACCATGCCTGCTAGACATCTCAGTTTGGATGGCCCTCTGGAATCATTAGATTTAACATGTGTAAAATTGAGCTTATGTTCTTGAAAGCAGGATAGAGAAAATATTAAATTGTGGGCTCTAGATTCACGATTGATTCTGCCATATACTAGTGATATGGTCCTTTCTCATGTGTAAACTGGGGATAATGAAGGCACCTACCACATAGGGCCATTGTGAGAGTTAATTGCAAAGTACTCAGAACCCCGTGAAGAGAAAGTCTTCAATGCATGTTAGCTTCAATGGATGTAACCGCTACCCTCGCCTTCACCACTGTGAGTATCAACACTAATACAGCTACCACTGCTACCTCTCCCCAACTGCCACCTGGCTCTTTCCCCGGGGCTCCTTATCTCAGTGGGTCATGACAACAAGAGGCAACACTGTAGCACCTAGTATGTGGAGGCGCTGTCCAAGTGTTTTGCGTGTATTGTCTCGTATGGTCCTGGCTACAACCTTTTGATGTAGGGCCTGTTATTTCTTTCAGTTTCCATGAAAATTAAGCATCCAGGGTTAATAACTCATACATGGTCTCACAACCACTAGGATATGTATTCAGACTTGTTGACCTCTTAGCTCAGCCTCTTGGCAATTAAGTTCTGCCTTCCTACCTCCTTTGAAATCTGACCAGAAACCTGAGGGTCATCTTTGATTCTTCCTTTCTCATCACAGCCCCCACCAAAATTCAACCAGTTACCAAGTTCTGTCAACTCAACCTTTTGAGTATCAGAGTTATCATCATTTCTTTATCCCAGTTATCTCAGGTCCTGCCTCCATCATCTCTTATTTACATGACTTCACTAGCTTCCTAATTTGTTTCTCGGCTTCCCATATTCCTCCCCTCCCATCTGTTCTCTACAGAAGACCAGTCAATGTGTTCTTCAACAACCCTTTTCCAAGACACTTTTCTGCTACTGTCTTTAGGATCAAGTTTAAAGTCCTTAATACTGCTTCTGAGGCACTTTGCTGCCTGGCTTTTGTTGTCCTGTTGAGCTTCATGTCTTGCCACTTCCCCCATAGAAAGCCAAGATCTGGTTTTATTGAGCTGCTCTGCAGTTTCTATGGCATGCATGAGAAAGAATGGCGCAGCTGGGATATAGGTTTCCTTGGGGAGCTTGCCTTGAGTCTAGGTACTACCAAATTCTGGGATCAGTACCCTGCTCTGTATGTGACAGCACTGTGTCCTTCCTGAGTCCTGTCTTCTGACACGCTGGGGTGTACTCCTTGTGTTCATTTGACTACCACTTACAGACTGGGAGCTCCATGGAGGCAGGGACTACATCTCCCTTACAGGCTGCTTTATCCCCTATTCCTAGCACAGTACCTGACACTGTGCTCAGTAAAAAAAAAAAAAAAACAGTAGGTGCTCAAAGTGACACATTAGAGATAAGATATTTAACTCACATTTTATGACCTCCTGAGACCACACAGCCTTAGCAACAGTTCTAGTGGTGGCTGCACAGATTTTAGTACCAAACTTGAATTCAGGTCCTCCCTCTGCTACTTACACACTCTAAGCCTCAGTTTCCTGTTCTAAAAATGGGACGACAAAAGTGTCAGCTTGCTAGAGCTGAGGAGAACAAAGTGAGGGTAGGGCATGCTCAGTGCCAAGCCCAGCGCCTGCACATTGTCAGCAGTCCTCAGGCGATCGGGTTTTTATTCAAACCCAGCTCTCCCAACTCTCAGAGTAGCATTTGATGTTGTCAGAGAAGTGTCTACTGATGGTCACATTGAGCTATTGTTCACAGGAAATAAAAATAGAGAATACACACAATACCATTGGGGAAATTCTCTGGGTTTGAAAGTATTGTATCCAGTGATGTGTTGGATTATGTAAATATCTCTGGAAAGACTGAACTGTACTGAAGTCTATAAATATCTACCAGGAAACATTCCCAAGGTTCTGTTTATTGTTATATAAATAAGAATGATTGTACATTAGCTTTGATGAAGCCCTGTACCTACTTAATATAATGACCTATGGGCTGAGCTCAGTAACTGGTACATACCTTTCATATATATCTGTGATTTATTTCTCGTGGATGGTGACGCTTATAATCTACAGATTATTTCCATTTACAGGAGGATGACTATGACTCTAAATGACAAGTTTCAATGAAAGATTTAATACTTTCATTGTATATCATGTAATTTGAGCATTGCTCATTAAATAAGTTATTAGAAGGTATTTTGGAAGCAGGCTCTTGTGGGTTCAAATCCTGGCTCCACCACATCTTACCATTGTGACTTTGGACAGGTTCTTTCTCATATCCGAACTTTGGGTTCCTTGTCTGTAAAATGGGCATACTATTTGCTATTTTAAGGATTTTGTGGGAAGACAAAGTGAGATACCATGTGTAAGTCACTCAGCACAGTGCTCAGTTCTGTTCACAAAAGCTCTCAGACATTTACTCTCAATATTAGCCCAGATTAAACTGGAAACAGAGCTATTTGAAAGATATGTGTCTCATTGTAAAAGTAACTATTGCCAGTCTGGGTTTGCACTTTATCCAAGGAAAACAATTTATGGTACATTTTTCCGTAGTTCAGCTTTTTAGCTGTATCTGTCATCTATCACAACAGGAAAATGTTTAAGTTTAAGAATTACAGTTCATGCTATTTAATAGAAATAGTTAAATCTTTCAATAATTAAATCTGGTATTTGAGAAAAAATCAACTTTGTGTTATCTATATTTTAGTGAGTTGTTTTAAATTTCCCAATGACCTAGCTCCCTTTGTTTTGCTACTTCTCTGGTAAATCTGTTCACGATCTATGCAGCCCCCATAACTCCTATGTCATATAGCTACTAATTACAGGAGGATCTTGATGAGCCTGTGTGCCGTATAACTATAAAGTAGTAAAAATATGACTTTGATTACTATTCGCAATTATTATTGGTACACAGTTATTATCAGTGCTGTAATTATTATGGGAAGTGTGCAGAACACAGAAGAGCTAACTCTTTGGAGGATTTTCTTCAAGAAATTATTGGGAAATATGACATTTATAAAAATACAGTACAATTTGTGCATGGCTGTTGGCTTTTATGTCACTTACTGCTTTTCTCCTGATGTTTCCCCCAGTTAATTCTTTTCTTAATTGATGTCTGTGCTCTTTCTCTCTCTCTCTACCTCCTTGGCAGTCTTTTCCCTATAAAAGGACCCATCTGTCTAAGGTAGTGATTCTCCATTTTTATATACTCATCAGTGACTAAGCTGCATGGAGTAGACATGCTTATCCTTTAGAAGTCTCCCTTAACACTGCTTTTGCAATATAGTCATATTTTGTTTGTTTTCCTTCAAGTAAAATATGCTCTTTTCAGTCTCAATTCAAGTACTCAAAATATATCTAATTTCTAATCGTAGTCATAGAGCAAAGAATACATTTTAAACTTGTTAATTCATGGAAATTAAAAATAACGCTTGAACTGACTCTCTTTGTAAGATGTAGCTCTATATACAGAGAATAAGAGAGAGAGGGAACAACTCAGAATAGTGACTCATTTTCATTTGATTTTATTAGACTTGAATTTGAGAGGCAACAGCGTGAAGAACTTGAAAAATTAGAAAGTAAAAGGTAAGCCCCATGGGATATGAGTTTAACACTGCTGTAGAGTGTGGATTCTTGTGGTACTGTTCCAGACTGATTTCTTCTGTGTCTGTTCAGTACCTCCCTCTGGTTCTGTCTGTTGTTTACATGTCTAATGACTGTAAGTCATTTCTCGTTAGCTGGGTAGTTTTACTTCATGTTTGAATTTTTTTAATAGTTCATTTTCAAATACTTGTGAGAAAGGGGGAATAGAGTCTAGGCAACTTTAACACACCCATTAAATTTAATACACCAAATATATACTTGTTTAAATTTAACTCAAAAGTATATCTTTTCTTAATAACATCCCCTGTATTTTTAAAAAGCCTAAAGAATAACAATTTTCCTTCCTTATACCTCCCCCCTTTTAAACCTCTTTCCTTATGTTTGGACGTTTGTATTTCCCTTTCTGTAATTTGCCTGTTCATATTCTTTACTCACTATTCTTTTGGGAGATGTGTGTATGTGAGTGTCTCTGTGTCTGGTTGTTTAATTGATTTGAAAAGGTTTTTTTATGTGTTCTGAGTATAATTCGTTGTCTATTAAAACTGTATTTTCTTCTTGTTTTTTTCCTGTCCTATTTAACAAACCAAGAAGTGGATCAAGGATAGATATTAGAGTAGAAACTAAGGCCATAGAAAATCGACAAACTGGATGTTTATTTTCTGGAATCTGGAATTTAGATGTTACAGATGAATTAGTTTAGTTTCCAGCGTCATATAAGAGATCTTTGGTGGGCCAGGAGATGGAGGCCATGTACTGACTGATCCTCTTCCATTCCCTGTGTTCTTGCTTTGGGGGCCATTCCAAACCAGAAACATTGATTTAGCACCCAGTAAGGATCATTTGTTCTCCAAGAGAAAACGTGACATGTAACCCCTGGAATCATGCATTTAAGTATTCTAATGGAGACTCAAGTTATTTTCAATGTTATGCATTAATAAATGAGTATTTGGGGCCATTTGGTGATCACCATTTGTCCTAAACTAGTGATTAAATGCTAAGTAGCATGTAGTTATTTGAGCTGGAACAATGAATTGTCAATTATCTTGACTTTGATATTTGACCTCAATGAGTTGAGGACAACATAAGCATTTTTATTTAATGTCATCTTGTAACCGCACTTGTGTTGCGTTTTAGCCATTGGGCTGAGTAAGATTATTCACATTAAAATTTAAATTGGGCATGGTTCTTTCTCTTTGAGCTCAGGGGGCTTCTTAAATTATATCATGCATAACACATTATGCTTATAGACTCTACAAAGAAATGATATCAGAGGCTACTTTAGGAGATTAGGCAAATGATATGTTGGACAGTTACAGAGTGAAAAATTAAACAGCATGCTACTGGAAATGAAAAAGCAAGCAGCACTCCATCTGTTATTATTTTGGTGAAGGGTTTGGCTTTATGTTGTACATTCATTTTCAGAAGATTTCAGTTAGGGAAAAGTTAAAGCAACATTTGAACACAGTGATCAGTCAACATTTTGCATTTCAGGAAACTCATAGAAGAAATGGAGGAAAAGCAAAAATCAGATAAGGCGGAACTGGAGCGGATGCAGCAGGAGGTGGAGACGCAGCGCAGGGAGACGGAGATTGTCCAGCTGCAGATCCGCAAGCAGGAGGAGAGCCTGAAACGCCGCAGCGTCCACATCGAGAGCAAGCTGAAGGATCTGCTCGCCGAGAAGGAAAAGTTTGAAGAGGAGAGGCTGAGGGAGCAGCAGGAAATCGAGCTGCAGAAGAAGAAACAAGAAGAAGAGAGCTTTCTCCGTGTCAAAGAAGAACTCCAGCGGCTCCAGGAACTCAACCACAATGAGAAGGCCGAGAAGACTCAGATATTTCAAGAGCTGGACCAGCTCAAAAAGGAAAAAGATGAACAGTATGCCAAGTTTGAGTTGGAAAAAAAGAGGCTGGAGGAGCAAGAGAAGGAGCAGGTCATGCTCGTGGCCCATCTGGAGGAGCAGCTGCGAGAGAAGCAAGAGATGATCGGGCTCCTCCGGCGAGGGGAAGTGCAGCGGGTGGAGGAGGAGAAGAGAGCCCTGGAAGGCATCCGGGAGGCCCTTCTGCGGGTGAAGGAAGCACGGGCCGAAGGGGACGACGATGGCGAGGAGTTAGAAAGGGCTCAGCTGCATTTCTTAGAGTTCAAGAGCAGGCAGCTGGTCAAGCTAGCCAATTTGGAGAAGGACCTGGTTCAGCAGAAAGACCTCCTGGAAAAAGAAGTTGAAGAAGAGAAGGAAATCCTAGAACGTTTAAAATCTGAAAATGAAGAAGAATTTGGGTTATTGGAAAAAAATGATGATAGTGTCACCTTGGGGACTCAAAATTTAGAGAGAATAAAGCCAGCGGAGTACAGGCTGCAATATAAAGAACGCCAGCTCCAGTACCTCCTGCAGAATCGTTTGCCAACTCTGTTAGAAGAAAAGCAGAGAGCGTTTGAGATCCTTGACAGAGGCCCTCTCGGCTTAGACAACACTCTCTATCAAGTGGAAAAAGAGATGGAGGAAAAAGAGGAACAGCTTGCGCGGTACCAAGCCAATGCGAGCCAGCTGCAGAAGCTCCAAGCCACTTTTGAATTCACTGCCAACATCGCACGTCAGGAAGAAAAAGTGAGGAGGAAGGAGAAGGAGATTCTCGAGTCCCGGGAGAAGCAGCAGAGAGAGGCGCTGGAGCGCGCTGTGGCCAGGCTGGAGCGCAGGCACTCAGCCCTGCAGAGGCGCTCCACCCTGGGCGTGGAGATCGAAGAGCAGAGGCAGAAGCTGGCCACTCTGAACAGCAGCAGCAGCGAGCAGTCGGGGCTCCGGGCCAGCCTGGAAGCTGAGCAGGAAGCCCTGGAGAGGGACCAGGAGAGGTGAGGCGTGGGAAGGAAAAGTGCCCGATGAGTGTGCACTGTCTGCCCCTCAGAGTGTGTCTCCCACTGTGTTTTTAAAAAGTAATTCTTTTAACCTTTCTATTGTCTAATACACAGGCAGATGCTTATTTTACCAAACCTGAGAAAAGACCCCTAAACATTCTTTTCTTTCTGCTTATGATCTTTGTTTTAGAATCATTGGCCTAATGTTAAAAAAAGCACACACAAACAAAAACAAAGCCCTTGTCCATTACCCCACTGACCTATCGAATGTGTATGTTTTAATATTTGATAAATGTGAAAGCCTGAGAAAGCTTTGGCCTTGATTCCTTATAGATTCCCCCTCACTCTTCCTTTCCCCCGTTGCTCTCTCCCACCCTTTGTCTTTCCCTTCCCTTCCATTTCCTTTCTTCCCTCCCTCTTTCCCTTTCCCCCCCTCCCTTGTTCTCTTTTCCCTTCTCTCCCTCCTTGCCTCCTTGTTTCCTTCTTTGCGTTCTTCTTCCTCCCTTTCTGCTTTCCCTCTCCTTCCTCGCCGCTGGCTTCACATCTTCTCCATGACTAGCGCGTGTTCCCCTGGAGCATCACCCGTGTGCACAGATCACAGAGTGTACCGACTTCCACACTGGTAGGGAAGGGAAGACCCATACTTCTCCCACCCTTGTGAGTCACAGTATTTGAGGGGAGGCCCTAGGATTCTGTGTTAAAGAATAAACCACCAAGCAGACAAAACTCTCCAGATGATTCTGAACAGAGTGGTACATTTGAGCAGATTTGGTGATGATTTGTGAATATTGTTTTTGGTGTTGTGAAAAATAAAACTAGGAACTAGTACTATTTTCATGGTAAAGAAAGAATCTTTATCTTCCTCCACCTATTCCCTGTCGCCATGCTTCCCACTTAGTAGGTCCTCAAAACAAAGAAGAACATGAATTTGAGAACACTATTTCTGGTAGCCCTGCAGACGTGATGCCAAGACTCCCAGAAAGGTTGATGGCTGCCTGGTGTGCAACCATCATCCAGTTTGGAGTCCTGCAAGGGGGCTTCGAACCCCAGCTTAGCCCCTTCCTGCCTCGCTGCCCTTGGGCAGGATCTTCACCTCTGGGCCGCAGTGTACTCACCTGCCAGGAAGGGGCGGGTGAGATCAGGTGTCTGTGCACTTCCTTAGCTCTGGATCCTTTGGTCAGTTGAGATCCTAACTGCAGCGCAGGTGGGAGGCCTGGAACACTGCGCCTCCCCAGCGTTCCTCTCCCCCATAGCACCTCTTGAGGGGCTGCAGCAGAAGCTCTGTCTCTAGGGGCCCAGTTTGACATTGGCAGTGGGCTGGGATCAATGCTGATGACAAGGCAAGACCTACTGTGAGGTGTGGCTGGAGCCTCTGTCCATCATCTTGCCTGAAAAGGTCAGGACAACCTTTCAAATGATCTGCTTATACTGTGGATTCTATTTACCATCACTCTGGTAATTCCCTCAGGCATAACAGCAACAAATAACAATAATGCTATTACTTCAGAGAAATAGGTCGGAGGTTTAAGAAAATGATCGCAGGTATGTTATGTAAATAAAATTGCTGGACAAAGCTCCAGCCCCAGGAAATTTAAAGTAGCAGAGGGCACGCTCTCAATTTGTATCCTGCAGTGTGCAGCAGGAGCTTTTAGCTTGATGTCGCTGGCTTTTGTCAACCGGCTTCAATCCCTGGGCATTTAGTATTAATACTCTATTATAGCAGATACAGTCCTGTGATTGCCACGGACGTGATTTCCCAGCATCAGCATTTCTCCAGAAGCCGCGCAGAGGCTTTTAACTTCATGTGTTTTGATGGAGTAGACTTTTCTGTGACCTAATTCAGGCCAACAAATTCTGAGCCCTTTGCTCTGACTGTGATGCTCCTGCAGCTTTCTGTGGGTGTTGGATTCATGTCTTATTATCCCTCTGGGTTCTCCTGCCTGACTTGACCACTTATGAAATTCTGCAGGTGTGAAATTTTAAAGGCATGTGGAACCAGACGGGACAATGGTGCACTGAGCTTGGCTTTCCCTGTGGGCTGGCTTTATGAACAAGATTTAATCCGTTTACTGGCTACTTTTCCACCCACTGGTCATGTGATCTCTGGAAACAAGTATCGGGCAGTTAGAAAGTGGCAGAGCTGCAACTCAAGTCTAAGTCTACGTCCCACTCAACTCTTTGTCCTGTTGTTTCCTGGCCACAGAGCTGCTGCCTAGCAGGGCCAGTCCTTCATGTGTGCTGCGACCCTGTCCTGGGATGCCCTGTTTGTCCTTTGCCACCCATATAAATCCTGCTCAACCTTCAGAGCCCCACTCAAATCCCTTGGCTCTGTGGAGTCTCCATTGCCTCAGCTCTGAAAGATGTCTTTGAACAGCTCCAGGAGACGTCATCTTAATTATAAACATTGGCAATTACCTACTTCCCTCTCATTTTCCTTCCCATCTCTGAGACTGTTTAATATTGTTCCATGGTTCTTTGCCCACCACATGGCCCCTGATATCACTCTTTTATGCTTATTCCCTCCTCCGTTGAAAATGCTATATGGTCTGCAAGTTGATGCTTAGTGAGTGCTTGCTAATCAGTAGGCAGAGGAAGGGCTGAGTTAAGCAGGGCATTGCCTTCTGTGGATGCCATGAGTGCTGAGCCCTGCGACCTCATAATCACATCTCGGAGAGATAAGAGCTTGGCTTTCATGTTTAGGATAGGGCAGTCAAGCCGCTGCTGATGACACCAGAGAGCTGGTAGTCATGGTGGTCAGCCTCTGAAGCTAGAATCTCTAATTTTTGGTGCTGAAGGAATTTGGAGAAACTAGTTGACTCTCTCATTTCATATATGAAGAAATTGAGACCCAGATTTCATTAACTTGCCCCAGTTCACACAGTGAGAGGGCTACAGCCCCTAGCTGAGTCTTGTGTTCCCTGGGCCAAATTGACTGGCAAACTTGTCCGTCTAGACTGATGACCTGGATTCAAGTGTGCCTGGGCCAGTGGGAGAATGGCCTTACACATAACCTGGTATTAGATGTATCATTTGTTATTAGAAATAAATGTTTGGTTCCACAATTTATGGTTTATTTTAATTTCTCAGGATACTTGGCCTGCTTTCCTAGGTCTCTCTCACCTGTTTCCCTTTTCCACACCATCTGCCTTAGCCAAAGTGGATTCCTGGTGTTCATGGCTTAGCCCCTTTGTTAATATTGCTTTCTGCACTGGAGAACCTTCTATCATCATCTCCAAATGTCCAAATTCCCACTGGCCTCTGAAGACTCAACTTAGAACTGCCTTGACCATGAAGGTACTCCTATATTAGTGATTTTAAAAACTCTCTAAAGCGTGGATCTCTTTTGTCAAACAGAAATATTTAGTGGGATCTCAATATATGATCAACAGCCAACTGTTTTGTTGAAGCAAAGGTAGGGGGCTCAGAAACCTGCGTATCTCCCTCTTGGATTGGCTTGGAGTACAGTAAGAATATCTTTGCCCTTGATGATAAAGCTCTCTCTGACTTTTGGATGCCTGCAGCACTTGTTCTGAACCCCTCTTGTGGCCCATTATCACGTTATACCTTGTCTTACAGGTATGTGGTACCTTTTCTACTAGAAGGTAAAGATCTTTGCACAAAGAGTTTTTGTCTGGATCCCCCAGGGTTTCCAGAACAATGTCCCACCCAATGATGATGCTCAGGAAATACTGTTAGTGAATGAATTCATGTAACTCCATCTCTATAGGTTAGAACATGAAATCCAGCAATTGAAGCAGAAGATCTGTGAGTTCGATGGTGTTCAAAAAGGGCATTCTGAGACCTTGGAGGAGAAAGCTGCTTCTTCCCGCTTGCCATCCAGTGCTGAAAAATCTCACCTGGTCCCTCTGATGGACGCCAGGTAATGGACATTAAACTAAAGTCATTGCTCCATTTCTGATGTTATTTAATGACTCACTGTACTTCATGTTGGCCAGTTTGCATCTGGAAGGATCTGTCAAAGGCAACAAGTAGTACGTGTCCCTGAAATGTGCTTTGATTTCATCAGCAGCTGCCTGGCCCATGGTGGGGTAAAGTATCATTTGAAGGGCACCAAAAACCTGAGACCTGGCCAGCCAAATACAGGAATGTTAGTGCAAGTAGTTTGTGCCAGAAGGTAGAATTAAAAGGTCCAGGGAAACCAGCTTATCCAGAAGGGAGTGATGCAAGGCCGGGTTGAGAGGAATAAAGAAGTAGAGTTCATTGAATCAAGAGGAAGGTCTTGTGCTGACACTTAATTTGTTAAAGTCATTGATTACATGTAGATGAATTCTGTTACGAAAATTGTACCAGTACATTCAGAGTGATCATGAATAGCAGAAATATATATCTGATGTTACTATAGGAAAATGATTCTCAACTTGGGTGGTGTTGTGAATTGCCCTGTGGCTTAGAGCTCTCAGATAAGTCGATTAATCATCCTTTACCTATAAGAAAATTAATTGTTTTCCTCAACTCTATCTATGTCATGGGGACATTTCAAATTTGACAGTCCTAAGCCCTGGGTATAAGGAGATACATATTTGGATGTCAAAATGTACTTGGAATAGCGTGAGCCTCTGTAGCTCTTTAAATCTAGGTCTGCATCTTCTGTGGGCCTAGTTTAAGATTTAAGTAAAGGTCCAGGGAGGTAATTCATTTGTAAGTGGCCTTGGCTCAGGTTCAGTTGCACATGATTTTATTTTTAATAGTGAAAGATAAATACTGTATTTTATTACCCTAATTCCATTCTTCTGGGCTGTTTTACCTAAAGTATTAATTTCTTTACCTAGCATTTCAGAAAATCATTTAGCTGTGGTCAGTAGTACAGAAATGTTTATAGGCTTATACATGTACTTAGAAAGATGAAACTAGATTTTCTTTTAGTGTGCTAAGATGTAAACATGCTAAACCATTCATTTTAACTGATCAATCTAATCAGTGTCTGTAGAACTGGGGGAGGGAGAGCCTAGAACTGAGTAAGACTTCTATTTGGGCAGTTTGAGCCACTAGAAAGATTTTAGATAGAACTAAAATTCTCTAGTCTCCCTGTTTCCTTTGGGTGGATGGTTATGTTTCATACAATTTCACCTATGTTGTATGGGGTACCAGATATTCAGTTGACACCTACTTGAAAAGTCAGCTGTTTCTGGCTTCTGCTGTCTTAGCCCTGTGCCAGGCATTTTGGAAGGTAGAGACCTTTAAAATGTGGTGTGTCCTGGCCAGGTGCGGGTAAGCTAGCTGGAGAGAGAAGAGAGAGCAGGAACAATGCAAGACATAGTTCCATCAGAATATTGTAGATTCGTAGAGAGTGTGTCCACTTTTTCTTTTTGTTTTCTTTTAATCCTCTTAAATGACTTTGTGATTGAGAAATAACTATCTCCATTTCTGTGTGAGGAAACCGAGACTCAGAGAGGAAGTGTTGGGTCTCAAAGTCCAAGACCTATGCTGTGAGGCTGTGGAGCTGTCTGAAACCCGTGCATGAGGTTCTCCCCTACCCGCAGCAGGGCCTCCGCCAAGGACATCCAGGAGAGAGGTGGACGGAATCACTTAATCTCCCTTCAGTTCCCAGGATGCTGTTATTCATCCAGTTCTCTCTCATTTGGGGAAAACACAGATGGTGAACACGTGGCATTAGATTTCTTAGAAAGCAGAAAAATGTTTAAGGTCCCGAATTATTGTTTGGCGTTTAGAATGAGGAAGTTCCCTGTTATGGAGGGCATAGTGAGAAAGGATCTCAGATGCCCTGACTGGTTAGAAGGGTTCAGAGACCCTGTCTCCATTGTTTCCAGGATCAATGCTTACATTGAAGAAGAAGTCCAAAGACGTCTTCAGGATTTGCATCATGTGATTGGCAGTGACAGCAATACCTCTGCAGATCTGATGAAGGTGAGTGAAGGGCTGAGTGAATACAGTCATTCATTTTTAATATGACCTTTCAGTAAGTTATTGGTGGTGGTGGTGGGGTCTTTTATTACTGTTTCTCAGTGAGAAAATTAAGATATGATATGTTCTAGAAAGATTAAATGTTGCTTGAGTGGAGCTTAACAGTTTATAAAGAGTGCCAATTCAAGAGTAACTTTACTTTAAAACTTTGTAATTTTGGGGGAAATTCTTGAGTGAATATAAAGTCTTCTAAAATGCTTTATTTCTTTGATTTGTAAAACTTCTGCATGTAATGTTTTTCTTTTCTCTCAAAAAATACAGCTAATTTCCTTAAGTATTTAATTTGCTTAATAAATTATCCCAAGTAGAAATATTGTTTAGCCTTTTAGAAGATACATATTTGTGACAAGTTGATTTTTATCAAAATAATGACATTTCATTTCTACCTGAAAATTAAGAAGTATCCTAAGGGAATCTTACTTTTAATATTCTTAGAATTTTAAGATTAGAAATAAATGGTTCCGTTCTCTTACAGGCAGATGGATTGATAGTCATGTTTACCTTGGGCATGTAAATTCTATAGAATGGTTGTCATTGTTGAATGACAAGTATGTTTCCTTAGAATTTTGTTCCCATAAATATTTCTAATCAAATCAGTTTTCCCCCTCTATGAACATGCTGTAATTTAATAGAGAGGGCTTTTTCTTTTCTTTTCAGGATAATGAGAAACTTCACAATGGCACCATTCAACGTAAGCTAAAATATGAGGTAGGTAATGATTTTTCAGATTGATAGGGTCGCCTTAAATTATAGCATGCTCTTGTGATTAAATTTTCTTAATGTTTAGTTGCATAATTAGAATTTTGAAGTCCCAGTGAGATTAATGGCTAATAGGGAAGGCAAGCTATTATATGGACTTAAAATTAAACGGAATCCTGCAGGTTGAAAATGGCTTTGACTTTATTTGAATGGCATGTGGCTGTGGTGGAGGCTCTTTGCCCAGTTTTTCATTGTAACAGTATCCTTTCCCTTGGTCTGCATTTAAAAGGCAGAGTTATATAATCAGAATCAGATCTGGGGTTTGGAAATGAGACTGAATACTTCTTGATGATTTAAAAACCCTGCTCACTTTGTAGACTGTGAGTTGGCCGTAGTATAAAGGAAATACTCTTGGTTGATTAGCTAATTTCTCCAGTGGATTGTCAAACCAAGGTTTATTCAAACATATGATTTGTAAGGTTTCACTTGTATTTTCCTCCACTGAGGGACTTGTCTTTCCCATGCATTCCTAAATTAAAAAACAAAAAGACAAAACTACTAGGTGGTGGAAATCTAACCGATGGTGTCCATACATTACTGAGCAGAGAGCCAGACGTGTAGGAGTGTGTGTTCCACAGTGGGCTAACTGACTTTGGCCATCGCCGTGCCTTCAGTTCCAGTCCGTCAGTAATGACATTATCTTCCTCTGGACATCCAGCTCCTTAGCAGATAACTTCGTGAAGGGCAGGACACTGCCTTCCATTGCTTTGTGTCCACAGTGCCTGGCCTGCAGCAGGCACGCAGTAAGCCTTTCATGGTGCTGGTTTGTAGATACAGTAATGGCAATCTGACCAGGACAGATAAAATTAAAGATTCGCATGAAATGAACCAAGAGGCGAGAGAAACGTGACGGTTGGAATACTCGTCAATTTCTTTTGGCCTTGCCATCTGATTTTCATGAAGTGTGCCCTGATTACTTTTACTTTTTGGATATATGGTCATGGACTTATTTTCACAACTAAATTTGACCTTTTGAAAATTGCATCAAAGGTCTTAGGATTTATTTTAGAGTAAATGAAATCTTAGACCAAGAAATGGATACTGTGGATACAACGCGTTTCTATCAAAATACTCGGCAATTTATAAGACATGGAAATTGATGTTCTGCGTGTGAATCAGATCATCTGTTCTTAAATCATGTATCAATCAGTACAAGTGGCTTAGGCTTTTGCTTTACCCTCTGAATTAATCCACACAATGAACCAATGACTGCAAGAATCTTCACGTGCGAAAGAATCGCAAAAGGTGCTACCCCATCCCCATTTCAACTGTTTTTGACATCTTGAACAGAAAAGGTATCTTGCCCTGCTGCCGCCCAGAGATGGTACTGACACTTCCAGCAGAGAGGAGAGGAGTAAGGTGGATCAGAACAACCACCAGAGTCATCCAAGGACACAGAGCATCTCAGGCGTGACAACTCCCTCCTCAGCATCACAAGAGAGAACCCACCAGCAAAGGGATCAGCCTTCAATACACGAGATGCTGCAGAACAGTGATTGTCCTGAGCACATGGGCGGTTTTCAAGTAAAACATTTCAGTCTACCTAAAATTTCTTTTATTAACGAAAGCAACACCAGCGATGCTGAACATTTGCAGGGTAAGTCAGAAAACTTCGGTGAGTCGATGACTCATAAAGATGAACACAGCTTGGGAATCGAGTCCAGCTGGACTTGGCTGCAACATACGTCCCAGGAAGTGTCTATAAATAGTGGAAGCAAGCAGACCAGGCAAAGCAAGTTACTGTGCGTTGTTCTTTCTGAAAGTGTTTCTAGCAAGGAGAGCGTTTCCGACAGTGTTCCTCAGAGCGCACCAGCCTCAAAGTATTGTAAGGTGCAGCAAACTGAGAATGAGTTAGCTGCTGAAACCGTTACTTCTCCAGAGTTGCTGACTGATACCAAGACAGAAAGAAACAGTGGATTGGGATATTTTTACCACAAGTTCTCAGACCTTTATAAAGATACCAGCAGTCACCTGCTACAGGCTGGCACAAGGGTGATCAGCCAAGCCAGGCATGTGGGGAGCCTGTGTGACCCCAGTGGGCTCACCTCCCACATGACAATGTTCATCAGAAGAATGCCAATTCTGAAACACTTACCCCTGGATGTGCCCTTGAAGTCATACACGGTGTCATTAGAATCTCATTCTTTTCCCCAGAAAGCTCAGGTTGGCAGCAGTGACAGCAAAGAGGCCAGGGCCATTAGGCCAGCAGAGAGCCTCGTGCCATACAGAGCACCGGGCCCTCCTGCTGCCCCCTCAGCCACAGAGTTCCCAGGGTCCTCGCCCTGCTCAGTTTTCCGCCTGGAATATGCAGATACTAGAGGGAGCCCTGCATTCAAGCAGACGCTTGTGCAGTTCCCAGACGACATGCTGGAACTCCAAGAGGGCCCTGTAAAAGACCTTCTTGAGCACGTGGCTTGTTCTCCACCAGAACTTCTGGGTGACATGAATGAAGTCAGAGGCATTTACTGGCTTGCTGTTGCGAACTGCGCAGAGCCGGACCCCCAGCCGGCGTGTCTGCTCCTGCTTCCTTCAACTTTATGTGCTTTGGTTCTGTCAGATGACGGTCCAGGCTCTCTGGGCGTTTTTCACGCTCTCCCTCTCTCTGGACTACAGGAGATACAAATCGGCTTTGGTGGACAGAGCATTCGATTCCTGGGCTCTGCAGAGAGTCTCCTGCTCACTGTATTTAGTTACAACAAAAACCTCTGTCAGCAGATATGCCGTGACCTCCTGTGTGTGCTGATGCCCACATCTGAGGCTGTTGCCTACACTAAGCATCCTTTGCTCCAGGAAGATCTGGTCCAGCTTTCTCTTGATTGGAAAGCTGAAATCCCTGATTTAGTTTTGGCAAACGGAGTCCGGTTGTCATCCAAATTCAAGAATACCTTGGTTGACATGATTTACTTTCTTCATGGGAACATGCAAGTCAACATCCCCTCTCTGGCAGAAGTTCAGTTATTGCTCTACACGACGGTCAGAGTCGAGGGCGACTCCGGCCAAGACTGCTGCCAGTCACTAGTCCTTCTGAACACCCACATTGCACTTGTGAGGGAAGATCGAGTGTTTCATCCTCACACTCGGTCTCTAAGCAGACCTCCTCCACGCGCACAGTTTGACGTGATCAAATGCCGTGCTTTAAGCGAATTCAGGTGCGTTGTTGTTCCAGAGAAAACATTATCAGCAGTTGAACTTGTCTTTTTACAAAAACCTGAACTTCCACCAGAGTCAAGAAACGGTCCATGTGAGCACTCTGAAGAAGCCCAGAATGACCAGTTGGTCCCCTGCCCGTTGTGTCTCCAGGGCAGTCAGAATGTGGCCCCCGAGGTCTGGAAACTGACCCTCAACTCTCAGGATGAGGCTCTGTGGCTGATCTCACATTTGACAAGGCTCTAGGGAGGTGGCCTGCAGAAATACTCTGCCTGTTTTTTGAGATCTTTAATAATATGAACATGATGAAAGCAGTCAAGGACTATGAATAGTTCAGTGTAGCTAATTGATCTGAAACTGGAAAAATGCAGACCTCTAAAATTGAAAATGTAAATATTTTAAGTCTCTAAAATAAAAAAAAAATAGCTGAAAGCAGAACAATGATAAAACGTCTTTATCACCTTCTTGATTCATTTTCTTGAAACTCAGCCTTGTGAATTTGGGCCCGCCTCATTATTTGTGAGATGATTAAAGCATTTCTGATTTTGTTTCTCGTCACGTCCACTTATAGCACGGTGGCTTGGAATCTGTGTGTGCCTGCTGGATTCTGGCTAATTTGTGCTGCCTGAAAAGGTGTCCGATCTGGTAGTGACCTTCATTGACATCCTCCGTTTTAGCCATGATTAGGACAGCTCTGTAGCAGAGCACATTAGTGATGCATCAGGCTTCCCAGAAGGACCCAGGGATTTGAAATGCCCTCCTCTCACTGTAATGCCTGCAATGGAGACAGCCCTGGGTGCCCTGCGGTATCTTCTTCCTTAGTTAATTGCCTTTTCCTTCTTCCTTTCAGACTTCGTGACTATTCCTTTCCAACCTAGGTGATTTCAGCTCCTTACTTGGTTTATTTTTGACTACCCTTCCCGCTATTCCACATGCTCTTTCTTTCTCTGAGTTCTTGTATTTCTATCCTAGAAAGGCTCTTCATCCCCAAGTCTGACTTTTTCTAGCGCCCTCTTTATGCTGTCTGATCCAATATAGGGTCACCGCAGAAGGCATTCAGCACTTTTCCCTGGCTGCCCTCCCTCTTGCCTCTCACTTAACCTATCACTCGTAACTTCTGACCGAAGTGTTTTGCTGGCCTCCCGTCTGAGATGAGCTCATGCCCATCATCCTCACGGAGGTCTTCTGTCTTCACAAAGTGCCGTCTAGTAGTCACGTACCCTCCTCCTCTCTGCTCTTCCGAATCTCTCTCCTCTGACTGACCCTTTCCTTTGTATTCACCTCTGTTCCGCATTCCTGTAAGGAATCAGATTACACATTTTATGTTTTTATTTCATCTGACCCTGAGTTGCTCTGCCCGTGTTCTCCTGTCTCCCAGCTATGTGTGTTCTGCTGAATCCCGAAGTCTCAGAAGGGAGGAATCATAGGATTTTATTGCTCCGTCCATTCTCCTTCCTCTCCCGCCAGGATCATGCTTGGCCCTCGGTAGCTTGCAGCTGAGTGAGTCAGTAATTCTGTTAAACCATTGATTTTAGCCCTGGCACGAAGGGGTCATTTTCTATTCTGGTCACATCTTTGAATAACGTGCAAAATAATGTTGTAGCCCCCTCTTCCTTTCTGTTCCTAATCTGCGATAGAGACAGCGTCACAGCTTAACCCACGTAGCAGCGTTCCGTCTCCCTTTGGCCAGGAAGTGCGGATCTTCCCTCCTTTCCCCCTCAGATCTAATAACAAGCTACTGAACTTGTTCCACATTTTCGTCATTAATTTTCCTCGACCCAGGTTCTGGAGAGGTGAGCGGGAAAGGCAGGAAACTGGATAATGCATTAGGACCCACAAACTGGTGGCCATGGCCTTATTTGCTGTGGCTAAGTGGCTGCTTTTTGTCTTTTTGAGGCAATAGGATTCAAATGTTTTGGGTGGAGTCTGTTTCTGTAACTTCCACAACACCCCACTATCACACACTTACTTGGTCACACAGACACATGTACACACCCTATTGCCTTCTGTGTGAAGGCTTTTGAATCTGTGACGAGGACATCATTAAAATTAGTTAGCTTGTCACATTCTTAGCTGGTAGATCTCCTACCATGGGAAAAATTTCTAAAATCATGATAGTCTTCTAATGTCTTACTGATAATATTTCTCCTAATTTATTTTCATATTTTTTCACTTTTTCAGCTAATATACTTTGCATTACCTTTTTTTAATTGTCCTAATGAGTATTTTTTCATATATCCTTGATAAGAAGAACAGATTTAATGATCATGAAGAGCAGAGGGAGTAGAATGTAAGATGCCAAAAGAGGGATGCTATGGCCAAAAGGAAACAATACATAAGTAGTATAAAATTTTTAACTAAGAGTGGTATATATATTTAACAGACAGACTTGCTTATCCTCACAAGTAAAAAAGCATAATTCTACTATGATATAAATTTTGGTCTTCGATATTGTTTACAGATGGAGCATGCAGCAAACATAAGTATTGCATAAAAATTGTGTTATTCATTATGACTTCTTCAGTCTGCTTTATGATCCAAGTGGATGACAATGAGGATTACGTTCAGATCTCACCACATAGGAGAAGCAGCCTCCAGCAGTTCAGATTTGACATGTCACTTCTCTCACCTAAGCGTACTTCTTACCTTGAGATCAACTGTGGTCTGATGTGAGACTTTGATTTACTATCCATGAAGTACATATTGAGGTTGTCATAATGCCTGCAGAAGCCAGTAGAGTAGTGTTTGTGCCATGATCCACTGTGACTTCAACCCCAGAGGCCTCCGCCTGGCTCCGCTGGCTCATTTGTCGGGGGTTCTGAGGCCAGGACTCTACTGTAGTGGAGCAGGCGTGAGAGTCTCAGCGTGCAGCCCAATGCCCCATCTTCTCCATTGTGGTGAGTTCCTGCATCCAAAAAAAATTAGGCTCATACATGCTTTGTTATGTGGCATTTTGCATTGTTGTGATATAAGCATAAACATTTACATTGTGGGACTTGTTAATGCATTCTAGACAATACCTCTTTGAGTACTTTTGAAAAAGTGATTTCATCTGAATTTGATTAAAATCCATTTTACTCACAGCTGCGTGTTTTGCAGACTTGTGGTTGGCAGGGTGAATTTACTTAGTCTTTGTTGAAAAACATTTCAAAACAGTTTGTCTCCCCGTTCTCATTTCTTCAAAAAATATATGTGCATTCTTTGGAGAGAATGCTTATGCCTTCCAGCAAAAGTAATTACAGTAATTTTACTTACATTCTTTTTCCTAGGTGAGTTAAAGTTTTGAATAAGTAGATTAGAGCACTTTTATTAATGCTTCTTCAATGGTCAAGCAGTCTTACTGGATAGACCAGTTTCTAGTGAGCTCATTTTGTTAATTTAGTTACACAGCCCCCAGTAGGCATCTTAGACAATTTTGCTTCATTCCTTAAAGTGTCTTTGTGGTGGATTTTATATCAGTCGGCTATTGCCAAATATCCAACAACCTCAAAAATTTCAGTGGCATGTGAAAAAGAAAAAGCTTTTATTTCTCACAGATGCTTTATAAGTAAATTGAGGTGGCTGTGCTCTAGGCTACAGGTCATCTGCAACTCACTAGGGTTGGTCTGCACCACGTATCTCATTTTGGGGTCTATGCCGAAGGAGCAGTGGCCATGATGATGATGACAGAAGCACAAAAGGGCAGCCATGCTTTGTGTCTGCTAACATCCCATTGGCTAACTCAAGTCACATGTCCAAGTCTAAAGTCAAGGGACAAGGAAGTACACTCCATCTACCAAGAAGCCATGGCAAGACTGTGAATATCTACTCCTCCTCTTCCTTCTCCTCCTCCTACTACAGGGGAGAGAAGAACTGAGATCAATAATTCAATCTACTGTGGATGCATTCTGTCAGGGTTTCCAGGGTTCTACTGAAGATAAAATTTGGATAAAACTTGTAAGACTTCTCCCTAATGGAAGTGTTCAGGTACTGGGAAGAACGTATATCATAGGACCTTTAAAATTACTAGTTCAACTTGATTTCCAATTCAGTCTTTGCTTGACACCTCTATGGATGGGCTGATCACTGTCTACTTCTGAACCAGTTGATTTGTTGGGAACTGCTCTCATTGTTAGACCCTTCTTCCGATCACCTTCCTTGTTGTGATCTCCATCTGCAGAATCTGTCCATCCATGGCACACCCCTGTAGCAGAGCAGAACAAATCTGTTCCACAATTTCTATTATATCACAGGCCTTCGAAGAAGACAGTTATCTCTCTCACCTTCTCTGATTTTTCTTCTTTACCTCTAACACCCTTCACTCCCTCTGCTGTTTCTTACACAATTTCAAACTACTACCATCTGGTCTCTTGTTAAGGATGCACCCTTGTAATTTTTTAAAGCCTCCTTTATAAGGAATAGAACTGAATAATCCAGTCGGTGAGAAGGAAAGAGATTCTATTATAAATTACTCATTCTGCCTTTTTAAAAAATATCTAGTCAAAATCTTTAGTTGTTGAAGTCACGGTGGATTGCAGTGCTAACAATCCCAACCACCCTGTATGCTGTGGTCTACAATGGACAGAGTTCTTTCCCATGTATTGTTCCTTTTGAGTCCCACAGTGATCCTCCTGGGATGGAGGAATTGTTGTCATTTATCTCTATTTCATATTTGGGAATTTAACTCAGAAAGGATCACTTGATTCAGAATTAGAGCTCAAACTCAGACTTTCTTCCTCTAGAACGTATATTCTTTCCACAAAGCCAAAGTCACCTGTTAGTCATGGTTATTCTTGACATTGTCTGAGTACATTTTTAGTTTTTTCTTTTTCATAGAAATGAATATTTGGAAAAATTAAGTTGATTCTTCTCTGACTTGTAAGTTTTTTCTTGGAATTTATCAACATTAAAGATTATTTTTCTGAGTTATTTTGGGTCTTTTTTTCAAGAATTGCCTTACAAATTTCTTTGCAATTCCATTGTTTTCTTGTATGGACCTATCTCTCTCATTTGCTTTCTGCATGTTTAGCTCCTATAGAAGAAAAGCCTGGATATAATCATAGCTTAAATATGGTACAGATAACCTTGTATGCTCAGTGTTGCTCCTTTAGTTGGAAGGTTAAACAATGTGCTGTACAGAAACCTGATAAAGAGAATTCCTCTCCCCACATCAGTTTCTCATGGACCTTAGAATTCAGCACAATTTGCATTAAACTTAGGGCTAAGCAAAAAGCAGTGAGTGAATATGTGTGGTACTTTTCATGGTTAATCAAAGACATTGTAGAACTGGAAGGAAAAACACATGATTGTCCCTCCTTGGGGTCCTAAACTGTCTGTAGTCATGTTGAGAATGAGAACCATGTTCTCAGTCAGTCATGCTAGACCTGTTAGTCTTTTTGTAAATTACCCATTTAATGATGAGTTATCCAGCGACAATGACCATTAAAGAAACTAGTCTTTTATGATCTAGAGAAAGATGGTGACATTTTTAATAGTTTCAAGTTGAAACATTCATCAGATATCCAGTATTTTGAAACCTTGAAACAAAGTTGATCATCTCAGATCTATGTGGATGAAATAATCTATTCCAGTAAGAATCATGGATTGGAAATGTTCACTAAACCTGTTGGGTTTGCCCAAAGGCCCCTAAACTCAGGATATTCCACAAGCGTTTATGTCCAACACAGTTTGTCATTTTCTGGGTAATTTATCCCCAATGACATATGTCAAAATTAAAGAAATACTTCTTTATGTGAAAACCCTTATCTCTGATGTGTGTATTCTAAACTCACTTTAAGATGAGATAAGGTTAGTGTTGTTTCTTCAAGTCAGGCTGCTGTTAAGTCTTGACCTTGGCAGGGATAGTCAGGGTGTACCTGTAGCATGTACACAGGGTGTCCCTGTGGCCACAGGTCTTAGTAAAATCCAATTCAATTGTATGTACTAAGTCTTTAAAGATAGTATAGTATTAGTGCAAAGTTCCTTCAAGGATGAATATAAACATATTTTGGCTCTTTACCATATTCATAATTTGCGCCTGCTCATACAAGTTACCTCTATTCCCTGTTTCTTATAACATGGCTCATATTTGAGAATGTAATAGCTTCTTCCCGTCTCTGCCCCAGACCCCTGCTTTAAAACTGCTGGGTCATACATAGGAGGAGCTTGATATATAAAATTTCTAATTAAAACTGTCACCATGGTATGTGTGGTTGAAAAAAGGAGGCATTAGAAATATATGCTCCTGTAGAAACAGAGGAAGGAGCAGAATTTTTTTTTAATCTGATAAAAACTCAGTTTTGCCTGAACTTGAGAAGCAAAGCTTGGATATTTGCCTCTAGGAGATCAGCCGACAGTCCTTAGTTCTGACCTTGTCATGGTTAAAGCATATACTGAATTCAACC